TTCGGGACTCGTCAGCTGGATGTACCTGCAACCCGGTGAGTGATGTTGTTCCCACCAGGACGACGGTATGATGTAAAAAAAACAATCATATATACTAAAAACTATACTCGTCCCACAAAAAAGTGGCTATCGTGGCTCGGTGGTGTAGTGGGTAACGCTCTCGCGTCTAAAGCGATCGCCCCCGAGTCCGAATCCCAGTGGGAACAACACTCCGCAATGGGAGGCAGGTACATCCAGTTGACAAGTACCAAACAGGACGGAATGTACATCATGGATCCCACTGCTAGCCACTATCCATCCTTACGGTCTTTTTTTGTTTTTCAACCTTTGACCTACGTTATCTGTCTATCTGAACTCCTTTTTAAATTGCCGTATCATTATGAATATTCGTATTCTATGTTGTTGTTGTCCCACAAATCACCTTGACTTGTTGATATTTTACAAATATATTGAAAGTTATGTATTCAAAATATTTCCTTTCTGCTAGATGGTAATTAATTTTCAGAATACTTATCTAAATTTTTAAAAAATAAGTGTTTTCTAGATTCCCATGACAACAGAAATTCAGAATACACAAGAGAATAGTCATATCATAATGTGGATTAATCGTAGATGAAATTATTTTCCGATTAGAATTCAGCTTAATAACTTTTTGACATATATAGGACTGTGAAAGTAGAGTTTTCATAGTGTACTGTGTCCATGGGAGGCTATTTAGTACAATCTGTATAAACTTATGATTGGTGACACTTCCGTTCCTAGCATAAAAATCTTCGAATAATATACAATGACTCTTGAGCATTTTAGGTTTTATAAGAATGAGAAATTGTGAACAACTGGAAACCAACCCAGTTGCTGAATGGTTATCGCGTTCGACGTGAAACCTGAAGGTCCTGAGTTGGGTCCCCAGCCGGGTCGTGGGTGCGTACTGGTCGAGGAGTCCCATACAAGGACGAAAAAGCTGTCCAGTGCTCCCAGACTTTCAATGGTTCCCCAACTGATGTCAGTCTATGATGAATACTACCTCTAAATTGAGAATAATTATTTGACAGTGATGAAACACCGGTTGGTTGTGTACAGTATTAAACGATGTTTACAATAAAACAACGGAGAATTACAAGTATGTCAATAAATAGTAACAACTACTACCCATTGTACAAGAAGTGGTCATCGTTCCTCTGTGGCATAGTAGATAACGAACGCCTTGGCGTTTGAAGCGATGGGTACGAGGTTCCAGTCTCACTGGTAACAACGTCACTCACTGAGGTGTACGTAAAACCGGCTGAGTAGTCGCAAGTAGGACGGGACACACGTCCTGGATTCTTCTGCTAGCCGAGACCAAAGAAATTACCTTAACTAGCATTCGGGCAATTTTGAAGCATCCGCATACCATATGCCAATAGACTTCGAACAATTCGACCCAATAAAACAACAGGAAATTACAAGTATGTCAATAAATAATAGTGATGTTTACTATTGTTTCTATGTAAGTGAATAGATACGCTTTATCAATGTAAGTAATAGAATATCGACATTGTGGTAAAGCATAAAACTGTATTAGATTGGTCTGTCTGATATAAGACAAGACATGTGTACATTGGCTCAAGTTGCAACAATTCCTAGTAGTATATAAAGAACAGGTGAATAGAAAAAGTCATATCAAAGTAGACAACACCATATGACACAATAAACAATTTGAGGATAACAGTAAATGGAAAGTCAAGCTTTAGATGTCGAGGAGTGAATATATCTGTGCCTTTATCACCGATTTTCATCCATGTCATCAGCAGTCTTCAACTACTCATTCCTTTCGTCTCGATGACTCATGTCTAAGCCATCTCAGTAGATGAACATTCACAACCAATTTGCCTTCCTTTCCCAGTACTCTCCCCTGATCTCAACATTGATCATACAGTAATTTAACCAAACGCTAACATCGCTGTGAAGACACATGTGATCGAAAACATGTAACTGCTTCATACCTTCTACTTTTAACGGCTATATCTCAAAGCCTTTTAAGAGGACAAAAGGTAGTATATGCATCCTTTGATGGATAGTCTGATATAGCACACGATGATATAGGATTATTTACTAGATGATGTTTCCAGCTGAATTTATTGCTCATGATCATATTAAGCTAGTCACACTAATTCCTGCCTTAGTTTTTCTGTACATTACTACTGTTTTTCATTCTTCGAACACTTGTGGGCATGTTAGAGCCTATGGCGAGTTGTCCAGGGAGCTATACTCATCAAGTGGTGTCCGTCAAGGATGCCCACTATCCCCATTCTTATTTAATTTTATCATAGATATTCTTATGGAGGTTTCCCTCTCCTCACCTTATTACACAGACGTTGACCCGATCACAGGTAAATTTTCTTTAGATCTAGAATATGCAGATGACATAGTCCTGTTAGGTGAAGACGCTGACAAGATGCAGAGTCTTCTGAACACTTTGAGTGGGAATTTGAAAATGTTTGGGATGCGATTTTCACCACCCAAATGCAAATTTTTGTTCCAGGACTGGTCTTCAGCGGTACCGCGGTTAAGTGGTTGAGTGTGTTGACCACTTCACTTACCTGGGAAGTAGGATCAACCCCAGTGGGTTAGTTGCCGATGAGATTTCGGCACGGATACAAAAGGCTCGATCGGCTTTTGCCAATTTGCGCCACCTATGGCGACGCCGTGGTATTCGTTTGTGTATTAAGGGTCGCGTGTACTGCACAGCAGTCCGCTCTGTTCTACTGTATGGCTGTGAAACATGGCCATTGAAAGTGGAAGATATAAAAAGGCTTCAAGTGTTTGACCACCGTTGCCTTCCTAGTACAGGACGTATTCCGTGGTGTCACTACGTGAGTAGTACAGAAGTCAGGTATAGAGTTTTAGGGAGAAGAGGTAAGTCAGTTGATGAGGTAATGAACCTTCATCGACTGAGATGGTTGGGACACGTACTACATATGTCTGGTCACCGATAGCCTCGTCATACAATGCAATGTTGGGTGAAGTAGGTCCAGACTGGAGAAACGCCTGAGGTGGCCAGACTAAACCATGGCATCAATGTATGAAGTCTCTGACTGTTGGTTTTGAGCCATGTAGGACGATGCAGACTAGGTGGTTGGGGTCCACGGGACAAGAGAAACCAACAGAGGTTGGAGACTGACTCCAGGTGATATGGCTGAGAACCGATGTCAGTGGCGCAGATGTATACACACATTATCCTCATCTTAACAACGCTATACCGAATCTCACCATTTTGTCACTCCTCATTCCTTTCTTCTCGTACTTCATATTTTTTTGACTGAATTCACTTATCTTTATCCTTCACCTCACTACCTTTCTACTTGATGAACTGACGTAAGGTGTGGCAACTCGGACCGTTACGCAGTAATGCCTGGTCCTATGTTGATAATGATGATTCTTTGGTGTAATTAGTAGTAAGATTTTCCATTTGTCTGACATGGGTGTTCAGTCACGCCTAGTATGCATGTTAGGAGTTGAGTCGGAGAACAGAGATTCAGTAATCAGCTTCTCTCTTCAATTCACTCAGCTTGTAGGACTAGTACTCTGTCCCACCCTGTGGTGCAGTTATGTGTTGTCGCATACATATTATTGTTATTATTTTTCCCTTGGGTTCCTAATGAAACATACGTCTTCAGTAGCACCTCTCCATTCCATTCTGTTCTCTGCAATCTTTTGGACCTGCCTCCACGACTTCCCAGAAGCTCTCATTTCTTCCTCACACCATTTCACCTCATGTCGCCCTCAGACGCCCAACTCGTCCTTTCCCATCTGGGTTCCACTCGAGTACCTGGCGCGTCTTCTCAGTGCATGCCCAATCTATCTCCATTTTCTTCTGCATATTTGTTAAGCGGTGGCTTCTTGGTTCGTTCGTTGTCAGCCACAGTTCTTTTTAGCTTGTTCGCACTATTCTGGCCATCTGATCGATATTCAGTATCGAGTGAGCGTAGGCAGTTGTTGATGAATGTCTGTAGTTTGTTGAAAATGCCTTTCGTGATGCGCCAAGTCACTCAACCATATAAAAGCAGTGACTTGACATTGGTGTTGAAAATCCGTACGTATTTCACGCTTTATGTGAATTTTTATATTAGGTTAGGAATAATACGTACTGTATGAGGGTCACCAAACCTTCTTGGCCGACAAAATACCTAAGAAGCTGCAACAAATTTTGAAGTTATAACACACCAGTGGAGAATAATATTCGACCTATGACTGACAAAGATGACATTCAGTCAGTCGAAAATCAGTGCTACAGCTTATTAATCCAAGAAGATTTTTATAGTAAAGTAGGTATTAGCTATTGGACATTGAAAATCGACTTTATGTAAAATGCATTCAAAATACTTTTTGTTTTTGTTTCATTTGGGTGTTTGTAGGGATTTAGTGACTTTTCAAGTTGAACTTCATCATAGACTGACATCAGCTGGAGAAACATTGGAAAGCTGTTTTGTTCTAGTATGTGACTGGTCAGCAGTGCACGCTCATGACCACACCAAGGATCGAACTCTAGGCCTTCAAATCCCGTGACCAGCCACTTGGTTAGAATCCAATAGTTCATATTTCCACTTTCTATCAGTTCACGACATAACATGACCATCACTGAATATCATCATTGTGTATTTATCCTCATGGTCACCAGATTTGTCCGACAAGTCACAATGTCTCATTCGAACTTCACCTCTTGAAGCTAGTCATCAATGTGCATTCGATTAATTTAATTTAGGATTTGTGGGTATTAAGTGATTTTTCATGTTGATATTCAGTTGAATTCGATTGTTAAAGGCCCACTACAATATGGTATCTGCATATAGCCTACAAAATGCTCAAAAATCTTTTAAAGTGTATAATTTTTTCTTTTAATATTTTTTTTTCTCCTTCTTCTAAAGTAAGTATAAAAGTGAGCAAAATCGGACAGGAGAGGAGTAAACTATCTATAAATTATATAAATTGATATTTAAAAAAAAGGAATATATTGAAGATAATCATATTTTAGAGTATGGAAATGCCATTTCATATGGTTTAACAATTTCATCAAATTTCTTTTCATTTAATAAATTTAATTCTATTACACTTTCACGTAATCCTTTTTTAAATTTTATTGCATATTTAACTAGTTCAGCTGATAAATCATATCCAATATGTGGTGTTAAAACTGTAACTAACATTAATGATTTATTAACATATTCTTGAATTTGATCTAAATTCAATTTTAATCCTTTAACACAATTATCAGTAAAGCAACGTGTTGAATCTGATAATAATTCACATGAATGTAAAAGATTTGCAATTATCAGGGGCTTATAAACATTTAACTCCAATTGACCTTGAGATGCAGCCATTGAAATAGTGAAATGATTCCCCATTATTTGTAAACACACCATTCGAAGTGATTCACATTGAGTTGGATTAACTTTACCTTTTATAACAAAAAAACAAACAAAGAAATATATATTGTATTTTGAGGGAGTTGTGGAGATTTGGAAATATTTCAAGTTGTTATTCATCGAAGAATGACATCAGTTGGAGGAACAATGGAAACCTGGGAGCACTGGACAGCCGTTTCGTCCTAGTATTTGTATTTCACTTGGTGGTTAGTAGTAGAATTTAAGACGCACGTTTCGTCCTATATGGGACTCATCAGACGGATGTACCTGGGTCCTAATGAGTGACGTTGTTCCCGCTGAAACTGAAGCCTAGTGCTTATCACTTCAAACGGCGAAAGCTTTATCTACTAGGTCACTGGGATGCGAGAAGCACAACATGTGCAGTGGGTGTCTGTTCCTGTTTACTGACATTTAGGGTCTAGGCACATCCAGCTGAAGAGCCCGAAGTAGGACGAAACGCATGTCCTGGATTCTACCAAATAAACTGCAATCTAATGAATATCCGGGCCGTATCGAGGCTTCCTCATAAAAAGCCATTTGTCAACCCGTATAATGACGGGAAAATAGAAGTATATATATATATATATATATATATATATATATATATATATATATATATATATATATATATATACATATGCAGAAGTTTTCTAGCCATGTACACATTACAACTTTAGTCATATTTTACTATCTAAACCAACAGGCACAGATATAATAGCTTAGAATTTTATGTACAAGTGAGTAAACTTATTTTACAATAGGATACAATAAGATAAAAAACCACCTCTCCAATCCCTATTTTATTGTCCTTATCATATACATACAAAGACAAACATTGATTTATAACGTTCAACATTCAACAAAATGTAGACAATAGGCTTCATAAAACAACACAGTTCATTCAGACAGTTATAGTACAAGTCACGTGCATTCAACCCAAACAATTTTGCAACACATTCATCTACACTCCTTAGGACTGACCCAGACCATAATATATCTCCCTTTAAAAGGTCATGCAGTTTTCTATGATCATCAAGAGGCTTGAGATACATACGTAATGACTCATAATAACAATCAGAACAGAATTACCATTAAGTATGATTAAACAAGTTGAAGTCCACAACACTGATCATAATGATGTTTTCAAGAGAATGCTCTGTATGTTTAGCCAAGTTGAAATCAAAGACTTAGTTCAAATTGTTCTTGTGGATGTATTTAGGTGTTAAAACAGTGCACAATCAAAACATAAAAGGGTGATGAAAACCAAAGAATGAGTCACAATCGATAAAATTGAGGCGGATATCGTGCCCCAACGGCTTAGTAGGTAACGTTCTGGCATTTGAAGCCAGAAGCACTGGGTTCGAGTCTCAGTGGGGGACAACATCACTCACTGAGGTGCAGGTACATCCAGCTGAAGAGTCCTAAATAGGATGAAACGCACACCCTGTATTCCTCTGCTAGTCAGCAAGATCAATATAGCATCATAAATTATTCCAACTTTACCGTATGATTACTGGATTTTATTTTTTAACAATATGTCACATTTTAGTGCTTAAGTGATGGATGTCAGATAAAAAATTAAATAGGAACATCTGCATGAATAAATTCCCAAAAGGATAAAATAAGCACTCAAGATCACACTGCAAACGACTATCATTAAGAGTTGAAAAGACTCCCATTTCGAGTTCCCTGTCTAATATACAATTATTATTATTTGCCCCTTGGGTTCCTAGCGGAACATACAGCTTCAGTAGCACGTCTCCATTCCATTCTCTTCAACCTGGCTCCACGACTCCCACAAACTCTCATTTCTTCCTCACACCATCTCCTTCATGTCACCCTCGCCTCCGACGCCCAACTCGCCGTTTCCCATCTGGGTTCCACTCGAGTGCCTGGCCTGGCGCTTGATGTCCCCGAATGGTCTTCTCAGTACATGCCCAATCCATCTCCACTTCCCGATACTACATGTTTGTTGAGCGATAGGTTGCTGGTTAGTTCGTTGCCAGCCACAGTTCATTGTGGCTTATTCTCATCATTCTCGCCATCTGATCGATATTCAGTATCGAGCCAGCGTAGGTGGCAGTTGTTGATGAATGTCTGTAGTTTGTTGGAAATGCCTTTCGTAACACGCCAAGTCTCTCAACCATACAGAAGCACTGACTTGACTGAGGTTGGTGTTGAAAATCCGGATGTTGTTCACGCTTTATGCTGAGTGCAGTGGAGTAGATCTCCACACTGGTTTCAGGTTAATGAACGCCTGTCTTGCTGTATTTTCGATCCTGGTTGCTTTGACGTCGTCGTCTGTGCCGCCACCTGTAGTTGAAACGATGCTGCCTAGATAGGTGGGTGAAATAGCAACATCCTTTAGATTTCTCCCCTTGATGGTGATAGGAGCTAGTTGGTGTTGGTGTCTTCTCTACATTCACTTGAAGTCCCGTCTTCTCTGCCTCGCCTCTTCTGTCAACTTGTTAGTTTTTGCCTGTAGATCTTCGAGTTTGTGGGACAAGACATTAGACATAAATCATGGACGGCGAAATCCAAATCTTCTAGGATTTTTTCATCGGTCCAGTTAGCGTATGCCCTTTTCTCGCTCCTCCAGGTTTTCCGCATGATCCAGTCCAGTCGACCACTATCAGGAAGATCATGGGTGATAGTAGGTAGCCTTGTCTTACTCCTGTCTTCACTTCAAAGTGTCACTGAGCTTCCCATTGTGAATTGCTTTGCATGTGGCGTCTTCATACAGTTGTTGAATGAGGTTGATAAAGATTTGTTTCACTCCGCAGTGCTGAAGCAATTGCCTGCCAAATTACTTCTCGGTCGACGCTGTCGAAAGCCTTTTCAAAATCGATGAAGTTGAGTTAAGGTAGAGAGTTGATTGCCATTCTATGCTGTGTTCTGTTTGTGTTTATTTATGATAAATTAAGAGAAGTAGGTTGGAAGAAACGTTAGCGTGAACAAATCATGACATATGTTTGTGAAATCTTTGACTGTAGGTCTGAACCGTGCAAAGAGGTATAGACCACAAACTTGATGCCCTCAGGAAAATAAGAATCGATTGTTGTATATGCTTAGTGATCCTGGTTCAAAATTGATCACGATAACACACACTACATACACTCTTCGTCATCATCTCTTCATTAACTTTCATCGCTTAGCTCTCATACACTTGTCTACCTTATTATCGTTCTTTTTCTTTCTAATTTTTCTATACTCCAGTGAAGTGTATAAAACTGAACAGATCAACTTTTGTGCGTTGGTTTATCTGTCTTATATAAGTAATAAAAATTAGAGGACATGAGAAGGCTTCAAGTGTTTAACTACTGTTACTTTCATACTATAAGGTGTATATCATGGTCTCATGGCGTCAGTAATGTTGAGATCAGACGTATTAAAAAGTCAACCGACGAGGTTGTGAACTTTCATCAATTGAGATGACTGAGACCTGAGTTACGTATATCTAGTTACTGCCTACCTTGCCTCATAATGTGAGCTAAAGTAGGTTTAGTCTAGAAAAATGTTAATGCCGATCAGACTAAAACATAACATTCGTGTATGAAATCTCAGCTGTATATGGAAGAGTACACTTATGAGGTGGGTCCAAGTGACACTTGACTTATCCACATATTACCTTCATCTTAATCGTCATACTGAATTCAGTATTATCTGATTTCTTCTTGCTCTCTTTCAATGACTTTCTACCACTTTCGATAGTTTTCTTTCTTATTTCTCTATCTTCAGTCTTGGTGCATTCTTGCTTGATGTGCTAATATGAGGTGTGTCAACTTCTATTATCATATCCTTTGTGGATATTGTCTATCTGTCTACTTGAAATAAATTTTTACGTTGTTTTTAAATAATCCCATATGCCAATAGAGACCGTTCAATTCGGTCCAATCAACGACGGTATGATATAAAAACAATTTTTGGAGATGAATGAGGATTTTTAATGTAGAAGTAGTATTCATCATGGAACCATTGAAAATCTGGGAGCGCTGGACAGCTGTATCGTCCTAGTATGGGACTCCTCAACAGTGCACACTCACGACCCGGCTAGGGATCGAACTCAGGACTTTCAGGTTTCACGGCGAACACGTTAACCATTCAGTTACTGGGTCGGTCTCCAGTGGTTCACAATTTCCAACTTCTGTCAATTCATGACATAGTGTAACTATCACCCAAGGTCTTCAGTTAGCATCCACTTCACTTCCGACTGGTTGACCCCACACGTCACCGGCTTCTCATTCATATCAAAAATGGATTACTGTATAGTGCTCATTAGTGACTTGCTTCCAGATGGATATCGGGAAGCTCTAATGAGAAACCGTGACGTGTGGGGTCAACCAGTCGGAAGTGAAGTGGATGCTAACTGAAGACCTTGGGTGATAGTCGCACTATGTTATGAATTGACAGAAGTTGGAAATTGTGAACCACTGGAGACCGACCCAGTGGTTGAATGGTTAACGTGTTCACCGTGAGACGTGAAGGTCCTGAGTTCGATCCCTAACCGGGTGGTGGGTGCGTGCTGCTGAGGAGTCCCATACAAGACGAAACAGCTGTCCAGTGCTCCTAGGTTTTCAATGGTTCCCCAACTGATTTCAGTCTATGATGAATACTACTTCTAAATAAAAACAATCATATATACTTACTCGCTATTGTTTATGAGGTGTTACACAAGTTATATATGTTTATGAATAAATGTTCCACCTGTTGTAGCTTAGTTAATATACTTTAATAGAAAATTTGATCGAATATACTAAGCTGTTCTTCAAATAGAGAATTCAGATTAGACTGTTTATTACAAAACAAATCGAAAACAAATACTTAATCTAATTTTTACCGTAGTTGTTTATATTATTTTGTATGACTGTCTATCGGAATTCTGAAAACTTAAAATGATACATAGAATTAATTAAGTTTAACCGAATAGATGCATTTCATATTGTTTCACAGGCTATCAATAATTATTGGTAGTATACTAATCTGTGGAATGAATAAAAATAAGTGAGCTGCATTATCTAAAAATAGTTCAAGC